TGCTCCCTGTACCCCGCTCCTGTTAGCAATCTGGCTGCCGCTTGTTAGACTAGTTGAAGTTTCCGAACAGTCTTCAAAGTCAGCCCCATGTAGAGTACATTGCAGTAATCTATTCTGGATGTAACTAGAGCGTGTACCACCGTGGCCAAATCCGACTTCCCAAGGTACGGACGCAGCTGGCGCACAAGCTTTAACTGTGCAAATGCTCTCCCGGCCACCGCCGAGACCTGGGGTTCCAGGCGCAGCGATGAGTCCAGAGTCTTGTCTCGATTTAGTTTCAATCTGTTGTCCCTCATCCAGTCCGTTACAGCGGCCAAGCACCGGTTCAGGACCTGAACAGCCTCCTTAGTAGCCGGTGGAAAGACAAAGTTGGACATCATCTGCGTACAGATGGCACCGAACCCCGAAACTCCGGATGATCTCTCCCAGCGGCTTCATGTATATGTTGAACAACATAGGGGACAATACAGAGCCCTGCGGGACCCCACAGAACAATGGCCGTGGGGTCGAGCAGGAGTCCCCTAGCAACACCTTCTGGGAGCGCCCCTCAAGGAAGGACTGGAGCCACTGCAAAGCAGTACCCCCAAGGCCCATTCCCGCGAGACGTTCCAGGAGGATACCGTGGTCGATGGTATCGAAGGCTGAAGAGAGGTCCAGCAGAACCGACAGGGACACACTCCCCCTGTCTAGTTCCCGGCGAAGATCATCCACTAAGGCAACCAAGGCTGTCTCGGTACCATGTCCTGAACTGGTGCTTGGCCGCTGTGATGGTCTAGATGAAGACGAACAAATTGAAATTGAATCCAGACAAGACAGATGTACTCCTGGTCAGTCATAAGGCCGAACAGGGAATAGGGTTACAGCCTGTGCTGGATGGGGTTACACTTCCCCTGAAGATGCAGGTTCGCAGCTTGGTTGTGATCCTGGACTCATTGCTAAGCCTGGAACCCCAGGTTTCTGTGGTGACCGGGGGAGCATTTGCACAGTTAAAACTTGTGCGCCAGCTGCGCCCATACATTGGGAAGTCTGACTTGGCATGGTAGTCCATGCTCTGGTTACATCCCGTATAGACTACTGCAACCCGCTCTACGTGGGGTTGCCTTTGAAGACTGCCCGGAAGCTTCAAATGATCCAATGGACAGCAGCCAGATTAGTAGCAGGAGCAGTGCTCAGGGAGAATACAACTCCTCTGTTGCGCCAGCTCCACTGGCTGCCAGTTTGCTACCGAGCACAATTCAAAGTGCCTATAAAGCCCTAAACGGTTCTGACCCAACTTACCTGTCCGAACGCATCTCTACCTTATGAACCTTCTAGGACTTTAGGATTGTCTGGGGAGGCCCTGCTCTCGGTCCCGCCTGCGTCGCAAATCCGTTTTGCAGGAACGAGAAACAGGGCCTTCTCAGTGGTGGCCCCTTGGCTATGGAACGCCCTTCCTAGGGACATTAGATCAGCCCCCTCCCTTTTAACATTCTGGAAAAAGGTTAAGATTTGGTTGTTTGAGCAAGCATTTGAAAATGCAATGTAACAGACATAGGAAATTGGGACGACTGGATGACGAGACTGGACAACGTTTTTAACTAAGAAACGGAAATGATCTATGTTTTATTAATTTTGCTATGTTTTTATATTATATGTTAATGTTTTTAAAAGTTTTATGGTGTTGTGAGCATTGAATTGCTGCCTCAGTCGCCTACGGGCTGAGAAGGACGGTATACAAAGATAGTAAATAAATCAATAAATACTCCCTGGTAGTTTGATTGCCTGTGACGTTCTAGGAGTTTCAGCACAGCTTGATTTATGTTTTCTTCTTTCACACCTTTTCCCTTTGTTTTCTGAGTCTCATCTACTCTCTCTTTCCCTATTTGCCCTCTCAGTGAGGCTTTTAAAATCCAAAAATGAACCTGTTGATAATGCACAAGCACTCCCAGTTGAATTTTTTCTTAAGTTACAAGTTGTCGCTTTATTTCCACAAATTCTGCATCCATAAATTCAACCATTCGTGGCTTGAAAATGTTTTTTTTTAATCCAAAAAGCAAAACTTGATTTTGCTATTTTACGTAAGAGAAACCATTTTGCTATACCATTGTATATAATGTGGCTTCAGCATGCATAGATTTTGTTATGGCAGCAGGTATCAAGGGCCCACTGTATTATGAATGAGGGTGAGTAGGCTGATGAATGGATCAAACTGCTGCGTGGCTGATCGCATGCTTTGCTCAAGAGAAGTACTACGATTCCTCATCTTTCATATAACAAGGGGCTACTCAGCAAGCCATGTGCAGCATCTAGAACATTTCCTTGCACCCGCCAAACAGGAATGGGTGGGGAGGCTGCTTTGCTACATTGATTTAATGGCTGTGAATGGTTAAAAGTAGGCCCATACTGTTGCCATTATAGCCATTCAGTGGTCATTCTTAGTTACCCAAATCCCCATCTCAGTTTCCCCCAGCCAGTGAATAACTGTATCAGTGCCTCATCCCAAAGCATGGCATTGCTGGGATGGAGGATGAATTGGTTGGGATTGTGTGCAAATGTCGGGATGCATGGCTCTTTACAGACTGCCCAGAAGGAAGATATATAGAATCATAGACTCATAGAATTGGAAGAGACCTCGTGGGCCATCCAGTCCAACCCCCTGCCAAGAAGCAAGAATATTGCATTCAAAGCACTCCCGACAGATGGCCATCCAGCCTTTGTTTAAAAGCCTCCAAAAACAGTTTCATACATCTGTGTCACCAATAAAATTCCAACCTTAATGTCTCAGTGGTTTCTCTGTATCCTATCTAAGCACAAATAAGTCTAGATCTAATACATCATTGGGTGTGGTGGAATTTCCGATCTGAAGTCATTGAATGTATCTTAGGGCCCTTCTACACAGGCCTTAAAATGCAGAAGAAACCAGGATAAAAGGGGGTGGGGGTGGCTAAATGATCTACAAGGACAATGTGTGCTGATTTAAATTAACAGCTAAAAAACACGTGTTAAAAAGTTGCGCTTGAAACCTGATTTCAGCTGAAAACTGTGCATATTCGCATGACTGTATATCCCTGCAGTCATTCCTATACGCCAGTGTGGACTGCTCCCTCCTGGCATTTAGGAAACAACTTAAAATGTGGCTTTTCAAGCAAGCATTTGGGGAGTGAGATGAGGTAGTCAAGATAACCTCAGGATTGGTGCAATGTCTAATGCTCTATGTTTTATGTTTTGTCTATGTGTGATGTTTTATAGTTTACTGTTTTTAATCTATTGTTGTATGCTATTTTAGCTACGTTATGTATTTTATATTTTATGTGAGGCATTGAATTTTGCAATTTATTCTGCTGTGAACTGCTTTGAGTACAGGGGTTATTCATTTATGTTGTATCAAAAGCATTGCATAAATTAGTATGAAATGGATAAAAATGGAAGGAGCACAAGTGGCTAAATATCTTTTGACCAAAAATGGGCAACAACCGCATTGTCTGTAGCTTTAATCAGTTCTTCCTCTGTACATGAGACAGGGCATCGTGGATAAGCATACAGGTGCTGAGTTGTCTGTTCTGCTCCACAGTCACAAAGATGTGGGATTCTTTTAGGTAGTGCCATTTTGCCAGGTTGTCTTTTGATCTGCCCACTCCACTTCTAAGTCTGTTCAGGGACTTCCAAGTTGCCCATTCTTGGTTTCCTCCTGAAGGCAGATCCTCAAAGGGGGGGGGGGGGGCGCATCTAGTTGAGGTTTCCTGGTTTAGCTGCCCAGAGAGACTCTTGCTGTTGCTGGGGGTACGTTAAGAGGTGTGGTGGTTCTCATGAAGCTTTTACTTTATTTGGGTCTACTGCGGGGAGGCTGCAGTGTTTGGCTTTCACAGTGTTCAGCCTCATTTCTCTCACAGCCAGCAGCAACTTCCTATCGCACATCAGGGGAGGCAATGCTAGCTAGCTTGTAGAGTCTATCAACAGGTGTAGGTTAAAGGCATCCTGTGATTATTCTGCATGTTTCATTCAATGCTATTCTCACCTTTTTTGCGTGGGCAGACTTGTGCCAAACAGGGTAGGCACATTCAGCAGTTGAGTAAGACAAGGCTAGGGCTGATATTCTTATTAATTTCTGGTCTGTACCCCATGTACTGCCAGTAAGTTTCCACAGGATTCTATTGCATTCAGCTACTTTGTGCTTGGTGTTCATGCAGTGTTTCCTATATGCTGGTGTTCAATCTAAGATGACACTGAGATATTTAGGATGGAAACAGTGTTCAAGCTCTTGACCTTCCCAGGTAATTTCCTGTTGGCGTCATGGTTCCATAGGTGGAAAGCACACACTTGTGTCCTGGCAGGGTTAGGCTTCAGGGTTCGCCCCAGGGGGGGATAAAAACAGTATATAAATGAAATAAATAAATAAATAATATTCACATTTTAAAATCCCAAAACAGCTGATCAGGGCTGCAAACAAATGGAGCCATGGACACACAGGTGGCCAAATGGAAGCACAATTGGGAAGCAATTCCCACGAGAAGTCTCTACAACCATTACTTTGCTCTCATGTTTATGAAATTATGCAGAGCTTGAATTTACAGGATGGTGAGGAGAGATAATAAGAAATCTGCTTGTGTGCACATAGGATATCCACATCAGCACTTATGTCAGGTAGTGTCAATTCAAAAAAATTAAAATTGAACATCCATCTTGCGGATTTTAAAAATCCACTACAAACAAAGGTGTCAGGATGGCAGGGGAGTATTGACTGGAACTGACAGCTCCTTGTGTGGACTCGCTATCAGGTCCCACCATTTTTTGGCTCCATTTATTTGATCAGAATTATGACGCTGCCTGGAAGCACTCTTATTCCCCATAGAGGCCATTGGCCCCAGGTCCCTCGAACAGAGGTGGGCAAAGGGCAGCCTGCAGGCCCTTGGGTCTCCTTCCCCCAGAAGATCTCTTCAGCCCAACCAATTGTTTCTCAATTTGGAGACCACAGCACCCCCTGAACCGATCTTAAAAATCTTTTTCCAAACCTTTCTTCTTAGGCTCAGAACTGGCGAAATGAAAATTTTGAGCGGCCCATTGACCTAGAAGCCTCTGGAGATGACGACTCCTTTGAAGATGAAGAAATGGAGGAGACCGAGGAACTGTATTCAGGCTCTGGCTCAGGATGTGAGTATGCATCTGAGTGCTTAAGACAGAAGAAGCTTGCTGCATAGAATTGACCTGATAGAAAAGGTTCCCAGAACTCTTTGTGGTAGTACTCTTAGTAGTTCCAACCCATGGGAGGTTGGGAAAGGATTCATTCTGAGGGCAAAACCATGCAATGTATTTACCCAGTGAAATAAAGAAATGTACAAAAGCACACATGTTATGAAAACTATGTACAAAAATACTTACGTTAAAATGTGTTCTTATGCTATTCAAATAAGGGTCTAATTTAGAACAGTCCATTTAGATGCTTTATGGATAGATGTAGGCATCTTCATTGATTTCATTTCATTCTAGTCAGTGTAAAGGTTTGTTAAAAACAGGCATGAAAAAATTATGTGTTTCTATGTGTGTGTCCCATCTATATATGCATGCACTTTTGTAAGGATTTTCTCTGAGTGTAGTGCATTTTTGTAGGTTATTTTCTCTAGCATACACAGTTTTGTATGCAGTTTTTGGGAAGATATGTATGTGTACATTTCCTTGTTTACTTGGCAAATATATTGCAAAATTGGCAACAGTACAGATATCACAGATATACCGGTGGCGCAGTGGGTTAAAGCGCTGAGCTGCTGAGCTTGTTGACCGAAAGGCCGCAGGTTCGAATCCGGGGAGCGGCGTGAGCTTACGCTGTCAAGCCCCAGCTTCTGCCAACCTAGCAGTTTGAAAACATGCAAATGTGAATAGATCAATAGGTCCCACTCTGGCGGGAAAGTAACGGCGCTCCATGTAGTCATGCCGGCCACATGACCTTGGAGGTGTCTATGGACAACGCCGGCTCTTTGGCTTAGAAATGGAGATGAGCACCACACCCCAGAGTCGGACACGGCTAGACTTCATGTCAGGGGACAACCTTTACCTTTACCTACAGATATCAAAATGCAAAGGAAATCTTTTGGTTCAGAGAATTGCATGTAGTATACTTCGTAGTAGATGCCAGTACATTGAATAAGTTAGTATTATAAGCATAGATATGAGATAAATTATTGTGAGTATATAACTGTATTATTTTGTGAGCATATAGCAGTATTTTTTTTTTGGTCTATAGTGGCTTTCCGCCTTTGTATTTTGGGGAATCCTTGCTCTCAAGAGAGAAGCTGCATGAATACATTTATAATCAAGGCATTCAGATGGACAGAGGGGCTCTTAATAGCTCCAAATGCTCAACATGGTTCAAGTTGTACACATTTGACCATGGAAGGACTATGGACCTAACCAACCATACATTCCCTAAGCTCAAGCAAGCTTTTACAGCCCTACGGTTCCAAAGGATGTCCTCAGCATGGTTAGCTGGTAGATACTCAGGCACTCCTCTGGCCTGTCAGCTGTTTGTATGTGGGGCCCCTAAATTGGGGCTCTGCCCTACTACTTGTTCGCCTACTCCCTATACTCTGCACCAAGAAATAAATTCTTAGGGCCTATTCTATGGACTCTACAATCGAACACGGTTGCAGAAAATATCTACCTTCTATCCAATTACAACTCAGCAATCACTTATAAAGTTCCTCTCTTTACCCTGGCAGCTAAAAAATCAGAGCAAGACTGAGTGTGGGCATCGCAGTTGACTGTGCCGAGGATGCTTTTATCTAGCCTGAGTGGGGTTGATTACCCCTAAGGGGTTCTTACTTACATTTTTAACATGACTGATCTTTTATACTGGCTTCTTACCGGTGAATGTGCAGTTCCTAGCATACATCGCATTTATGTTCCTGCAGTTCACAATTTATATTTTGCACGCTCTGTTTTATCCTACTTGCATCCTGCTTTTAACCATTGGATTTTACTGTGTTTTGTGTAGATTCTTGTTTGATGCTGTTTCTGTCGGTGTAAATGCGTATGACCATTGGTCGGAGCATTAATAAATTACTGATTGATACAAACTACATAAGCACATAGTTCTAAAATAGGATCATATGGAATAGAACCTCTTTCTTTCCCAGGACAAGCTTTGTTGCATTGTTTGCTGCAGGCAAATTGTGGGAAACGGACTTGAGAAGTCTGTCTTTCTCCTGCTGCTCTCGATCATCCTCCCAATGCCAATGCTGCCAAAAGCAAACAAGCAAATTCCCAGCTAGTAGCCACCAACTTTTCCTAGTTGATGCTTTTAAGCATTGGGAAAAGGCCCAACAAAATCAGACTGCCTTTTCCCTGTGTTGAGATTAATCTCCTAGACTAATGGATAAGTCTAGGGTTAGGGTTAGGGTTAGGGTTAGGGTTAGGGTTAGGGTTAGGGTTAGGGTTAGACTCTAGAAATGTTAGTCGAAAAGTCAACCCAAAATATTTGAGTCAACTTCTCCATTGGTCAGTGTGAACAGTGTACTTTTATTTTGTTATTTATTTACAGTATTATATTTTGCTCTTCTCACCCTGAAAGGGACTCAGGGCAGCTTGCAGAACACATATATGGCAAACATTCAATGCCATTATACACTGACAGGACAAACAACAGTACAGATAGAGGTGTATAGGCATTTCCCATCTTTGGGGTCTTGGAAGTTGTACTTGATTTGGTTGTGGCTCTTCCATCCTCTCCTTCAAAAAACAACTGAAAACCTATTTGTGCACTTTAGCATATAGAGAAGAGGAGGACTAGAGAGTGACAATCAGTTAATTCATTTTGAACAGAGATGATCATTGTACTCTGGTCTTGGTGGGTTGGCCGGCATTGTTAGATACTACGGTCATTATAGATTGCTTTGAATTTCAATTTTCTTTAGCAAACTTCTGGGAACTCGTTAAACCAAGGTTCATGTTTAATGGTCGATATGATTTTATGTTTTATGGTTCAATAGAATTTTATATTGTAACTGTTTGTGTAATTTTAGATTTTATTTAATAATTGCTTGTTTGATGTTGGTTTGCTTTGGGGTTGGGTGGGTCGTAAATGTATTCATGATTGCACTTGTGGTGTGGCATTGAATGTTTGCGTCTGTGTTTTTTTGTTTTTTGGAATCTGCCCGGAGTCGGGGAGATAGGGCGGAATATCAATCAAGTTTTTGTTTTATTTGTATTTACTTGTAACCAGTTACTTCCGAGCTTTAGTTTTCTTTTGTATTTATTTTTTTGAGTCAAATTGTTCAGCCAACTATTTTTTCTAGGAATGCTCAGCAGTCACTTCACAATTGGTGCCTTGGCTTCTCTTGCAGATTTTGAGCAGGACTCTGGCATCAAGACAGTTCTGCAGGTCACAACAGAGGTACCCATGGTCCTCACGACAACAACTGCAGCAGTGCTGCCAATGACCTCAGTGCAGCCTGTCGGCATCCCCTTTGTGCCATTCCCTACAGAGGAAGCCACCTCCAGGCCAACAACAGATGCTCTCTTCATCCCCAGGATGTCCGAGGCACCTGCAATCACCATCCAGAAAGCAAGCGGCGCTGCCACCACAGCCTCCATGACAATTGCCAACACCAAGCCAACAACTGTTTCCAGAGTCTTGGTGCCCTTTATCACTGTCCTAGCCACAACGCAACCCGTCACACTGGAAACACCAACGGCTGTCGTCGTAACTAAGATGGAAGCCACTGCATCTCTCCCAGTGACCACCAGCATGACAAAGGTCAGAATTATGCCAAAACTAAGCACACCACAGGAGCCAGAGTTCAGTGAGAAAAGCACCACGCTTCTGCAGCCTTTGAGCCCCACGGCATCCACAGAATCCGTCCAGGTATGGAAATTTATCTCTGTGCAAACCTGCATCACATACAGGAGAACTGATATCATACCTCATTGTGTCTAATTTGTCTTCAAAAGGTACAAAAGGAATTACATGATGCTGGGACAAATCACTGTTTGTACTTGCGTGTAAGCCTAGAACATTTTAGTTGCAAAATCAACCCAACCAACTTGGGTAGACTTATCCACGGGTCAATGCAAGTACTGTAGTCTTACTCTGCTACCATAGGGATAGAGGGGAGGTAACTGGGTAGCTTGTAGTTTGCTGATGAGAGAGGAAGAAAGACCCCCATAATTCCTCTGTCTCTCTGGGGAATTCCAGGGGGATGAGAAGCCTCCCTCCCTCCAACTTCAATGTTACTTAATGGATATAGAAGGAACCCCACAGAACTTGGCTGCTTCTTGGGGATGTGGTTGGAGTTGCCTGATCCCAGTTCCAAAGAAGATATGCATGATTGTAAAGTACACACATGTCACTAACAGAACTCCCCCTCTTATTTTCTCCTCCAGAATCTCCTTCCAGTAAGTAGATTTGTATCTCCGGTTACATTAATGCCTTTTCTTTTCCTCCAGTAGCCTTAGGATGGTGTATATGGTTGAACATTTGTGTCTTCTCAAGAACACTGTGCGATATGTTAGATTGAGAGATAGTAACCGGGCCAAAGGAGGGATTTGAATCTCTTACTTCCTGGTTCTAGTCTGACATGCTTAACCAGGCATGGGCAAACCTCAGCCCTCTAGGTGTTTTGGACTTCAGCTTCCATTCCTAACAGCCTACCCACTACACTGCTCTATCGGCAAGGGAGAACATGGGCACTATCTGCCATCTGCTCCCCAACAGAACTTCAGGGCTAAGTACCTTCAATAACTTCATAAATGCTAACATGGTGAGCATTAGTAATCCATTCCTTCAGCAAGAGTGGTGAAATGAGGGAATTTTAGACTATATTCTGTGATCTTGCACTTTGCCCTCTTTTAAAAGGTGTATGATTTTACACCATTTACTTCAAAATGTGACAAAACATCCTTGTTACATCTGGAGGACCTCTTGCTACTTTTTCTGAAGGAGACCTAGGGCACCTACCTCAAAAATCCAGCCATAATGGCACAACTGGAGGAGGAGTCAATGAAATATTGAGACCGGTTTTCCCTGAAGGAAGAGAGAAAGTCTGTGCATCCCACAGGTGTGGCTGGTACACATAAATTGGACAGGGGACTGTCTCCCTCCTGGTTCTTCTGGACCTTTCAGCAACTTTCAATACCATTGACCATGGTATCCTACTCAGTTGCTTTTTTGGGATGGGCTTGGTGGTTCTGTTTTTCAGTGGCTTCTTTCCTTCCTGGTCTGCCGGAGGATTCCTATTCGACTCCTTGGTCACTGGCCTATAGGGTTGAGTCCTGTCCCTCATCTACATAAAGCCACTGGGAGAACTCATCTGGAGTTTTTGGACGCAATGTCATGTATATGCAGATGACACCCAACTCTGCCACTCTTTCCACTTGATCCCAAGGAAGCTGTTCCTGTCTTTAAGTAGTGCTTGGCAGCTGTAATGGACTGGATGAGGGCAAACATATTGAAGCTTAATCCAGACAAGAAAGAGGTGGTCCTCCTTAGGTAAAAGTCAGATCTGCAAATAGGGACCCAGATTGTGCTAGATGGGGATCACGCTCCCCCTGGAAATGCAGGCTCTGAACCTGGAGGCCCAGATATCAGCAATGACCAGAAGTGATTATGCACAGTTAAGGCTCGTGCACCAATTGTGCCTGTTTCCAGAGAAGTAGGATCTGGCCCCTGTGCCTTGGTATTTTATACTATGTATTCTGAATGCCCACTTTTAGACTAGTACCCCTTTTTGGCATTTTTACAACAAGGTAATCGGGGGAGGGGGAGAGATAATTTTATAAGCAAGATCCCATATTAAAAGGTAGGTAACAGCACTCTGAATACACAATTGGTGCTTGTAGTAATGTTTATATTTTTGTGGGTAGCCTTTGGTGTCCCATCCAAAGCATCCTTCTGGAGGTATTCAACTCTGGGCAGAACTCCTGCAGCTGCTTCTTCCTGGTAGGGAGAGGAGAGGCTGATAAGCTGACCAAACTTGGAGGAGGAGGAAAGTCAGAATGTCCTCACAGAGAGTGTTATCTTCCAACCCTTCATCTTAGAGCTACCTTCATTCGTTGGATTACCTCCCCACTTTCTCCCCTCTCAAGTGCTAAGCAACAGCAACCCCTCCTGGTAGATAAACATCTGGAAACTTCAAACAGTTATGGAATTACACCTTGCATGCACCCCAAAAGAGGTTTATGACACACTTAATGTGTGTTTATGTCACTAACAGGATTCTTGTGCATGCGTGGCATCCTTTTACCCCTCACCTATCATAACAACTGAATTTTTAATATAATTTTCTGAGGAATTTTAATTTTGCTCCCAGACAATCACATCGAGTGACTCCCTTTTTTACTGGGGACTAGCCATTCCCTGCCACACGTTGTGGCCCAGTCTGTGTATATGTGTTTTGTGTGTATATATATGTGCACATATATTTGTGTATATGTGTGTTTGCGTATATATATGTGGTTTTGCGCATGGCCCCTTCTACACTGCCATGTTATTCAGATGATCCAAGAAGATAATCCACATTACCTGCTTTGAACTTTTGTGTTTTTCAGTGTTTTTATGAGTGATGGTCACTTGTTGGCCTGATAGGTGTATTGTGTCCAAATTTGGTGTCAATTTGTCCAGTAGTTTTTGAGTTATGTTAATCCCACAAACAAACATGACATTTTTATTTATATAGATTCTGGATCCCTACCAAGATCTGATTCAGGGGTGTGTGGGTGGATATTACAATGTTCCTAGCCTCTACCTCCCTCTCCTGGCCATTTCATCCAACAGGCCAAAGAGTTGCTGCACAAGGCAGTCCAGAAGGTAACGTTTTCTGTGTCACTTCCAAGATCAGACATGATCCGTGTTGCCCACGTGAATCAATCAGAAGAAAAGGATAGAGGTTGGGATGAAGAAAGTGAAACTGCTTTCTCAAAAGCATGAAATCTGACCCATCAGCAGTAGTGTGGCTGATATATGAGGCAGCTCACAACATAGAGAGGGGCTAACATTCAATGCCGTTTAAAAAATCCAAAATAACATAAGCCAAAAGATAAAACCCAATGCACAATTACACAAGCAACCAAGACAGTCAGTCAACTGAATACAGACCAACCAATTCACATGATAACTATTTCATATTTAACAGATTTTTACAATTTAGAGCTTAAAAGATTAAAAACATTTAAAAGCCAAAGCCAAATTCACCTTCTTCTTGTCCATTTCAAGCATCAACTTCCACATTGAAAACCCTGTTAGGATGATGGCAACAAGGGCAGAAAGTGTTAGGATAGCTTTCTCTTTTTCTACCTTTCTTTTGGGCATAGTCAATGCTTCTCCTTTCTGCTATTTATTTCTCCAGAGCAGTTTTATCCTCCCTCCAAGTCTGGTCCATATTTGGCTTTGCCTCAATTGGATGTGTCTCTTTTCACCCCCTACCACCATCTGAGGCATAAGAGTGGCTGTTTTCTCCATGGAAAGGGAAGTCTGTGCTATCCTATGTTCCATTCCTTGGAATACTTACCCAAGGAACCACAGAACCGAGCCCTCTCAGAAGGTTAGCTTTAGTATCTCAAAAGATACCTATTTATGGATGGTCTTGATTGTTCTGTTTTTTCTTCTGAACCTGCAAAAGGCAGAGGGAGGCTTGTCAGACATCAGGGAAAATCTACAGGCAGATTTTGAATGCATCTGGAAATGCTTATTTACTGGGTTGTTGTAGGTTTTTTCGGGCTATATGGCCATGGTCTAGAGGCATTCTTTGCTTCTACTGGGTTCCATTCCAGATTTTGAATGTCTAAGGCCCCTTCTACACTGCCATGTTATACAGATGATCCAAGAAGATAATCCATATTACCTGTTTTGAACTGGATTATATGAGTCTACACTGCTATATAATCCAATTCAAAGCAGGCAATCTGGATTTTATATGGCAGTGTAGAAGGGGCCAAAGCTGCCTTATATCCCAGGACCTGATCCCCGGTTATCTGCTTTGAACTGGATTATATGAGTCTACACTGCCAGATTTAATCTGGGATAAGCTAATACACTGGGCTCAGATAATGGAGCCCCTTCTACACTGCCATATAATCCAGATTATCCAAACAGAAAATCCACACTATCAGTTTGGACTCGATTATATGAGTCTACACTGACAGTTTAGAGAGATGGGTCAAAACTAACAAAATGAAGTTCAACAGGGACAAATGCAAGATACTCCACTTTGGCAGAAAAAAAAATGCAAAGATACAGAATGGGGGACAATGCCTGGCTCGAGAGCAGTACGTGTGAAAAAGATCTTTGAGTCCTCGTGGACAACAAGTTAAACATGAGCCAACAATGTGATGTGGCAGCAAAAAAAGCCAATGGGATTTTGGCCTGCATCATAGGAGCATAGTGTCTAGATCTAGGGAAGTAATGCTACCCCTCTATTCTGCTTTGGTTAGACCACACCTGGAATATTGTGTCCAATTCTGGGCACCACAATTGAAGAGAGATATTGATAAGCTGGAATGTGTCCAGAGGAGGGCGACTAAAATGATCAAGGGTCTGGAGAACAAGCCCTATGAGGAGCGGCTTAAGGAGCTGGGCATGTTTAGCCTGAAGAAGAGAAGGCTGAGAGGAGTATGATAGCCATGTATAAATATGTGAGAGGAAGCCACAGGGAGGAGGAGCAAGCTTGTTTTCTGCTTCCCTGGAGACTAGGACATGGAACAATGGCTTCAAACTACAAGAAAGGAGATTCCATCTGAACATGAGGAAGAACTTCCTGACTGTGAGAGCTGTTCAGCAGTGGAACTCTCTGCCCCGGAGTGTGGTGGAGGCTCCTTCTTTGGAAGCTTTTAAACAGAGGCTGGATGGCCATCTGTCAGGGGTGATTTGAA